TCGCTGGCTGGGGAATTCTGGGAGTTGAAGTCCGGACATCTTCAAGTTGCCAAGGTTGAGAAACACTGCCTTAGGCACTGAAATGGATTCCCAGCACTCACCTTGCAATGATTTTGATGATGCTGTCCAGTTCATCGGCCGACGGTGGGTTGCGACCTCCGGGAGGAAATACCAGGTTGATGGGATCAAAGAGCCGCGAAAGCGACTTCGATAGATAGGCGGCTTCGTAAGGTTGCAAGGAACTTTTCAGTGCTTTCTCCGGGCTAGGAAGAGGGAGTGATTAACGAAGACAGAGTTACTTGCGTTTTTCAAAACGGCGCCTTAAGCATAGCAACCTGTTCTTAACCCCCTCTGTACGCCGAAGCACACTGACACAAGATTACTGCTAGACAATTTAGTCACAGTAAATTAACACACCGACAAGACTTCCAAGATAAGAAATACACACAAGAGCTTCTCCAGCGTTAGTATATTAGTTGAATCCTGCAAACAGCCTCCTCCCAAAGTCTCTTCTTATATACTCTCTTGGGAGGAGCCTGGATCCAATTATCTTCTGTTTCTGCGTAGTTGCTGTCGGCGCTTATCTGCCCGCCTTTGCCTGGAGTCTGGGACCAACTCCCTTAGCTCCTCCCCACTGCTCCAGGGCCTGACGTTAGGGACCAACTCCCTTGGGCTTTCACTTGGGCCACAACACCTATACTCTTCTATCAAAATGTACGCCTTGCTCAAATTAGTAATTCAAAACCTCCAGTTAAGTGTGATTGGTGCTCTACATCATGAAATGTTAATCGAACCTAAATATTTCTCAGCTTAAAATAAAGTTTTCCGAATACACTAAGCACATCCATCTCCAAATAAGAATATCCATGTTTTGAGGCTAGGTTCTGGGGCAGAAATGTGGCTTTATCACCATTTACTAAGCCATGATATGAAGATTGCAGGTACACAAGAATTTTGTGTAAAAGAAAAAGACTCCCACGAATCAATCCCAACTTCCAAACTGCTTCCATTCAAACTGGCAAATTCTAACGAGTAGATTCACTGCCTTTGCTAACAGCAAACCCAATTTCTATTTATCGACATTACTTCCGCGCTACGGAAAACGGCCTAATCCGTTGCAAGGAATCTGAAATTGTCTGACAATTCTCTCAATACGGACGGAAGCGCTCGTACTCATAATCTTGTTTCTTCTGCATGAATAAGTCCTGTGCGTCGTCATCTATTTGTAGAAGTTCGGATACGGGCTCGGCGCCGCTGTTCGCAATCACGTTTCTCTGAATGCTTTCGCTGTATTGTTGAAGGCGCTTCCAGAAATCGTTATACAGCCTCAGTAATTTGGGATATTCGCCTTCGAACGCCTGCTTCAGAAACATGGAAGCTGAAAAACAGAACAAAAAGATCATACGGATGTCGCTTAAAGCCAGCCTGCGCGATGGCTGTCACTTTTTCCATGCTACAATATTTAAAATCAGCAGTGCGCAGGGAGTCGTCGACGTACAAAACTGAAGCACTGGAAAAAGTGACTCGTAGCCAGTGGTGGGATTCCAAATCTTTTCCCACTGGTTCTATGAGAGTGCGCTTCATGCGCGCCAGTGGTGGGTTGCAAATTTTTTTAGAACCTCTTCTGTAGGTATGGCCTGCGTTGTGGGAGTGGCTCGCCAGCCATGTGACTGGGTGGGCATGGCCAACTTGTAAAATGTGGTGAAACTCACTTAACAACGCTCTTGCTTAGCAGCCAAAATGTTGGC